CACACACACACACACACACACACACACACACACACACACACACACACCCTTCCAATATACTCCCTTATAGGGAAGAAATGCACAATTACTTTGGCGGGGTCGGGGAGGATGACCCCACCTGTATGTCAAGCCGTGCTGTTTTGTCATGTATGCCGTCTGCAGACTGTCCAAGTTCTCAAGCCTTCCAGATGCTCACTGGCACAGCTCTTAGCTTCCTGTTAATTTTTGTCCCTGGGAACTCCAGCTTTGTACGGTCTTGCCACATTTGCATTGGGGTGACCTGGGCAGACCTACTTGTCTGCTTTGCTTGTTCCTCATTTTACTTTGATTGCTTTAATGATTTATGAACCTGATTTGCATGCCAGCATGCATCATTCAAATCTGCTAGAGTCTCTTCCATCTTGTAAAGGTCACATCCCAGTGTGGGGCTCAGCAAGGTCACTGGAGCCCTATACCGGTCCCAGGGCCCCTGAAAGTCAGCCTATTTCTTAACTCTCCCGTGAACACAGTCCTATTTGCTCTGGTAAGTGGGTGTCCAATGCTGCCATTCCTGTGTCTGGTTGCCTCAGTAATACGCATGTTTCCTCTGTTGTCTCCCCGTCCCTGATACTCAGGAGACCTCAGCCAGCAATAAATAACCAAGTGTTCCTCCTGGCTCATGGGACAGCGGACAGCGCACCAAGTACCAATTTCCCTCGTTGCCCCAGGACACTCTGCTTTTGTTTCAATGTTTCCAGGTTTCTCAGCTTCCATAGCACTCTGCTTGATCCCATCTGCCACCGCAGCCCATAGCCTCTCAAGCCATGCTCTGGCGGCTCTTGGCTCCTAGCGTGAAAGTCTTTGCCAGTTCAAACAGTTCAGACGCGGAGCATTGAGCCATGTTCATGGTTCCGTGTTCTTGCCATCATTAAAGCTCCCATCCTCAAAGATTTTTCCTCCACTCTATTGCAAGTCAGAGGGCTAAAACCACTTCTGCATACCTCTCTTGTTTGCTGTCTGATTCTGCCTGTGGGCTCCCAAAATTTTGGATCTCAGGAAGGGCTCTCCTGCAAGAATCTCACGTGGGCTATCTTTCCCTTCATCTTGCCATCTGTAAAAACTAGAAGCCAACACCTCTGTCTCATTCTCCCCTTTCCCGTTTCTCCAGCAAGTCAGAGGCTAATGTGGAAGATGGTGTCATCCACATAGCTGTTCTCCACTTTTTCCATTACATGGACAAGTTCTCTCTGGCAGACGGTTCAGCCTCAGCCACATCTCATCGCCTCAATCAAGGGCTGCACACAGCTGCCAAAACCTGCCTGTGATTCTCTTCCATACACGCTACTTTTATAGATTACAATATATTCCCTAGTCTACTAGCTGGTTTTTTGGGGGTGTCCCGGTAATCACATGGCAGATGGCTTTTTTTTTCGATCTGTGCACATGCTAGGCAAGCGCTCTGCCACAAAGCTACACCCCGTCCTGAGAAACTGTATGATGTCAAATGTGTTTATTTCAGCAATGCTTTCTTTCCCCACCCCTGCCGAAAGAGCAGTTTGGAACCGTTCTAATTGTGGGGTAAACATTACGTGGCAGGGGATGATGTGAGGTATGTCATTGTGAATAGCAAGACTGTGGACTTGCCTGTGGCTGGGGCCCTGCCTGCTAGTAAATCAAGTCTTTCTCCTCTTCTCACATTGTCTTAGTATGGCAAAAAGACCAGCTTTTCCTAGATGCTAAATTATGACACATACTTCAGATATGAGACATGCTTTTCTCCTCTCCTTTCTTTCCTCTGTTTTCTTTTCCACCTTGTGGTGAAGTGCCTGCCAAGGGAAATTCTAACTCACATCCAAAATCCTGCTGCCATCTCTAGTGAGGGCTGCCAGCTGGTTCCCCAGGGGCTGGGCTCAGCTTCTCCCCCTCTCCTGCCTTCTCTCCTGGGTTTGTCCTGCACAGGGAGGTGTGAATGCCTTCCTGAAAGCAGAAGCAAACATCAGCATTGTGATCTATGTTATTTTAAACTTCAGAAAATGAAGTGAAATATGACACCAACAACAATGAAGAGGAGGAGGGAGAATTGTTTGACTTTGACAGTGGAGATGAAGTTCCGGAAGCAGATCGGCAAGCCCCGTCTGCCCTCGGGACAAGCGGCGCTGATGGGCAAGCCCAGTCTGCCCACGGGCTGAGCTGCACTGAGGCTAGAGATACAGGTGAGACACCCTGTAAGTTAGTCACCCGGCCACGCTGCCCTGGGTCCTGCAGGAGGCTTTCTAACCTCTCCATGCTTACAGGACCCTGGTAGTTTCCTTCCCTGTAACAAAACCCCTGAGGTTTGGATGGACACATACTCTGAGAGGGTTTGGGTCCATGCCATAAAAGACCAAAGCAGAGCAGCTCACATGATGGCACTTGGGAAGACTGAGAGAAGAAATGTGAGGAGACAAGATAGCTCCTTCAAAGACACATGTGCACAACCCCAGTGACCCCTTCCTCCAGCCTGCTCCTACCTTCTAGTAGTCCATTCAGCTAGATCATCCCCAGGTTACCGAGATCTAGTGACTCTTAATAGCTCCTTCTGCCGGGGACCAAGCCACAAGTGGGCATTGCCATTTTATCACTATACATAAACTGGGATGGCTTACCTGTTTGAGTTCATATTTTTCAATTCTGGAGGTAGATCTGGGACTTGAGCAACTTAGCCAGGTAGAATGCACAGATGCAGCTGTGGTTCCTGTGGTTGAAAACCAGCTTCACCCTCCTTCATCCCCAGCCAGATCTCTCCATGCAGTTCTTCTTATTTGATGTGCTGTCCTGGGAGCCTCTGCAGAGTCTTCTCCATCTGTGCCCAGGGCTGATGCCAACTCCCCATTCTGTTGGTGATGGGCGCACGGTTCCCATGCCCTTACTACAGCCACAGGGACCCACATACATCCTTGAAACCCTGTTTGCTAACTAGTGTCCTTCTGTTCTCCAGGAAACGGAACTGGAGCTGAACCTGCCCCGGAGGCTGAGCCTGCGAAACTTGTGGTCCCAACAAGAGTGAACCCGTACTCTGTCATTGACATCACACCATTCCAGGAGGACCAGCCACCGTCTCCAGATGCAAACACAGAGGAAGAAGGGGTGGGCCTGCGTGTGCCCAGTGGCTACTCGGTGCCTGTGCCCTGTGGCTATGCTGTGCCGTCTAACTTGCCCCTGCTGCTGCCTGCCTACTCCAGTCCTGTCATCATCAGAGCAGAGTCTGTGGAAGAGGAAGGTAACGTGTCCCAAAGCTTATGCGATGACAGAGCACTCTGCTTAGGAGGTCTGCACCCAGGCTTTCTTTCTCATCTTATTATTTGTCTGGAGTGTTGGAAAAGGACCCCAAGCTAATGCCTCCTGTAGCCGCTCCGGTGCAGTGAGGGGCAGCCCAGAGGACAGTGGTGTGTTCTGCACACCAGAGAGAAGGCATGTGGCCTCCAGTCTAGAGCAGGCCTCAGCCCCATACTCTCTGTGACTTAGCGTCACTGTTACAGAGTGCGAACATGTCTCGTCTTCCCCTAAGCCACACGCTGTGCCAGGTCTCTGTAGTCCTCTGTGTGGTAAACGGTCAGAAGGCAGACATGCAGACCTTGTCCTTCAGTTCTGGGACCTCGAACGGTGCTTATACATGGTGAAATACAAACTTACGTACGTGCATACGTACATACATAATTAAAATAGCTTTCAATCATGTCAGATTACTTTCAAATAAAGTACTTTAAGTGGTACTTAGTTATTCACCAGATGCAACTAAATGGTGTTTTAGCTATCTAAAATGATAGCTTTTTCTTTTTCTCTCCTCAATACTAGAGTGTGAACCTGGAGGCAAGCAGTCTGCCAGTGAGCCACACCCACAGCCCCTTTGACTTCTTATTTTGAGGCCTGGTCTTGCTAAGCTGCCCAGGTTGGCTTTGAACTCACTCCATGGCTCAGGCAGTCAAGAACTATGATTCACCCTGCTTCAGCTGCCCTGAGCAGCTGTACCACACCCCTGGCATGTGGACACAGGTCCTCTGATGACTGCCCTTGTTTTTGGACGCTCTGTTAGAGAGAGAGGACGAACTGCAGGCTGTGGTCAAGTCTCAGCACTTTGGTCGATTTCTGCAGGAAATAATTATGTTTGCAACCTTCTATGGTTTTCAGTATTCAAAACTGAAAGGTTGTTTTCTCAGTTATTAAATATAAGTGAAAGAACCCTTACTGAAATTTTTCTTACAATTATAATCAGAATTCTGCCTCTGATAAGACTCCCCAGTGTGAGAAGAAATGTCTCACCCTGGGTGTTGTGGTGGCGTGCCCTGGAAAGAAAGAGAAAACCATGAGATGGGAGAAGGGAACACAGCAGAGATACTGAGGGACTGGGTTCTGAGCTGCTGGCCTCTTGACACCTGGTACCTATGCCCTGCCGCAGAGGAGGGGACGCTGTGCTCCACAAAGCTTCCCTGGGTCCCATATCCTTAAGTGTCCTTCCTCCCACCCCTGCCTCCATCTTCCCCAAGGCTGGCAGCCCAGCTGGAGCTCGGGCCTGGACACCTGGACACCGCCATTCCTGGAGAAGAAGAGTTCTGCTCGCTGTTGGCCCTCTACTGGCCAGAGAACTTCCTGTACATGCCGACTTACAGGCCTCTGTGTCTTGCCTCGTGTCTAGGGGTGCCCACTTTTCACCTGACTTTCTAGCAGTAGGGGCGTGCAGAGAACAGCTTTCTGGTGGTGGGCGTGGGGAAGCATCCACAGCAGGGTCAAGGGGCCCGCGAGTGCTCTCTGCCGCTGCTTCACCATCACCATGGCCTGGAAAGCTTGTGTAGCCAGGCCTCACCCCTGGCGACCTTGTGTACCATTTGGCATCCAGCTACACAGCTGTAGCCCACGCGCCAGGACCACACTGCCCTCATGGTTGAGGTCTCCAGGTTGGCTGCACAGGATTCAGCCCTCTGGGCTTTAGCCAGCTTTTGTGTGCTTGGAAAGTTTTAAGAGCTGTTGCTTCTGTAAAACAAGTCCCTTTCTGAGGGCTCTTCATGGCCGGCCCAGGAATCCAGCCTTTGCCTGAGGCCAGCCCTGCACCTTCCCTTAAGGGTTGCCCTCTGCCACTGCACAGGGATGCAGCCCACTGGAGGACGGGCAGGGCATCGCACACACGTGTGCCAGGTGACAGCACCATCTCCTGTGAGCCTGCCCCCTGAGCTGGCTCCCCGCACACTTCTCCCCAGCCTGCTATTTGGCGGTCTGCCTGTCTGTTCATCTGAGGCCAGTGTATGCGGGTCCTGTGGGGCTGCCTTTTCTGTGAGCACAGTTTGTGCATATGTGAGTCAGAAATGGGAGGGAAATGCCGGACAGAGCTGACTGTGCCTGGACAGACCTGGTGTGAGGAGGTGTGTGACATTTGGTGTCACGCCACTGTCATCTGGGTTTGCCAGGTGGATATGTAGAACTGCAAGAGTGTGGTATTGGCTTATTATTTCAACAAAGTACCTGACTGACCGATTTAGAGAGAAGAAAGATTTGCTTGGCTCACGGCTCTTGCCAGTTCATTCCATGGTCAGTGGCTGCATTGCTGTGAGGCAGAACATCCTAGAACATCACAGTACAGTGGTGATCAAATCGTGACCCCATTGGTGGCTAACCTTTGGCATCGGAGCCCTTATGGTTCAGTCACTCCTCAGTGATTGGATCCCTTAAACTAGGGACCATGACTTCAGGATATGAGCCCCCAGGGACACCATATTCAAGCCGGGCAAATGCTGAGCGTCCTCCCTCCAGTCTGATGTATCCTGTGTGCTTGCATTTAGTCTGTCACAGGCCCGGAACATCACGTTCCATCACCATCCTGTGATGAATACGTTTTATCTGAGAACTGATCATTTTTCAACCTGTGGTAGCATAAGCCTGTTATTGGTGAGAAAGAAACTTGAAATAATTTAAGGGTTAAAGTCAACTGTGGAAACATTGTGTCAGGTGAGAAACACTGTCGATATTTTCTCTTTCTCTTGGCAGAAGCAACAGAAGTTACTGGAAATGGGCAGTGCAATTCCCTAAGCTCGGAGGACCTTCCGCAAAGGTATCTCTGCTAACTCTAGATCTCCTGTGTTGACGCCCTTCGCTTTAGTGCTGGGCTCACTCATGCTGAGTTCTCAGGCCATCTGAGCTGTGGAAGACACAGCCTGCCCCTCAGAGTGCTACTGCCTGGGATCCTGCCTGCCTCCGTGTGCTTCCCATGTGCTCTGGCCTCACAGGGTCCCCTCTCTCCGTAGCATCAGTGCCAGCTGTAAGATGGTGGCCAGAGCTGTGACCTCTGTCATTCATTGGGCCAGCATGGGCCCATGAATTCACCTCAGCATGGCCATGGCTGGTCTTAATACCCTGTGTCTTCCTTCTGGTGATTAAGGATTAAAGTATCCCAAACTTAAAATTTTAGAAGTCACTGGAATTTCTAGGGAGAAATCTGCACATGTTTTCATCTAGTGGGAGTGGGGAATTTGGGACAAATCAGACCCACAAAGATAATTTTTCAGAAGCTGTAGTTCTCTACATGCTATGGGTTAGTAATCAGTGGCACTGAGGAGACTGAGATGGAAGGATCATGAGTCCTAGACTGGATCAGGCCACATAGTGAGACCTTGTTTCCCTAAACTTAAACCAGATCTGGGGAGACAGCTCAGTCAGTAAAAGTGCATGACACACAAGTGTGAGGACATGAGTTCAACCCCCATTGACCACATAAGGACCGGAGGCGGGGCTCAAACCTGTAATCCTAGCACAGGGAGGTGCAGACATGAGAATCCCACCAACTTCACCCTCATCCCCTCTCTTGAGATCTTACACATACATTTCCTTAGAACTTTAACCACCAAGGGGGCGGGGCAGGCAGAGGCTGTGTGTCCTTGTTGTGTCCTTTCCCTGACAGGTTGGGTTGTTTCCTCAGTGACTGGAATCTAATCCTTCTGTTTGCATGTGTTGGCTTTCAGAGCCCTCTGTGTATTTCTTCTGTACTGCTGGGCACTTGCCTTTATGACTGCCCCAGCAGGAAGTGGGTGGCCTGGGGCCTGTCACCCTGCCACCCTTTTGTCAGTGTTTTGGGACCTCACAGTGACGATTCACAGTTTGTCCAGAGAATCCCTCTTGTCATTCTTGTGGGAAGTATCACAGTGGCTCCATATTGTGTAAGACAGAATCTCAGTCCCCGTCTGCCTGTGACTGTCATGTATGGGTTTGGGTAGCCCCGTGGCCCGTGTGCCATCCTCCTGCCAGACTGTGCCACAGGAAGAGTGCTCTCACAGTCGGGTGGCATCATCTGTGACATTCGGGTTGTACAGAGAAAATGGCACTTGTGACGTGTGTGTATGTGTGAGTGAGAGATAGCTGATAGAGTTATGTGCATATCAGCTTGAACTTGGGATTCTTGCAGTTGTGCCTGGGAAGATCAACACAGACATATTAGTGTGTGCGCGCACAACTATCACAGGTCTCTTAACTCCCCCCCAGGACTGGCATGCCTCTCCACACTCTATTCATGATGTCTTTATTTCCAGTGGCGATCAAGGCAGTCAAGAAGGCAGTGCCCTGGCCCGGTGGGCAGCCGACCCTGCCAACACAGCATGGATGGAAAGTAGGTACCACTGGCCCAGGGGCCTGGATCCCCTGCCCCTAAGCACCTACAGGTCCCCAGAAGACAGCAATGGGTTTCCTTTCCAGACCTAAATCTTTAACTTGCTTTTGTTTACCCAAGCGCAGTCAAAAGCTCATGTATAGGAGTTTCCCGGGGCTCTGAAGAGGCCTTCTGCTTCGCATTGAGACAGTCACAGCTGTGCCCCAAGCATTTACGCCTCCTGTTTCTTCCTGGTACAGAATGGCTTCACTGCATGATGGGGAGCTAATTAAGGCTCTGACCTGCCGCCCATGCTCAGCCATTCTCTATTGAGACACCAGAGAGGCTTCTCGCTTGGGTTACCACCAGACTGATGCTTAGGGGAGTAGGGGCAGCGTTGGGGTGATGCTGGGGGCAGGGGACAGCGTGTAGGTCTTGGGTTCCACAGTTGTTTTAAGAAGCTGAGATGTTTTTAGACTGTCACTTGTTTTTTGATTGTTTTGTTTTTGTTTTTGTTTTCCCGACAGGGTTTCTCTGTGTAGCCTTGGCTGTCCTGGACATGCTTTGTAGATGAGGCTGGCCTAGAACTCACAGAGAGCCACCTGCCTCCACTTCCCTGAGTGTTGGGAGTACGGGTGTGCATCATCATGCCTGGCTGTATTTTGGTTTTTAAGGAAGTAAAGATTATGCCTTTTAGTACCCAGTAGCTCCTTATTTCTGTGTGGCTGTTTCAGATGATTGGCCTAATGGTCAAACCACCTTAGCTTTTCATGTATCTCCTGGAAAGTTTTAACTGTGACTAACAGGTTCTAGAACGATTGTGATGGCTCTTTGGGGGTGGCTGATTCAGAGCCATCACAAGAACCTGTCCTATCAACATCTTATTTCTCTCTGTCTCTCTTCCTCCGGTCTCTCTCCATCCCAAACAATTAAATGCTTTGAAAAACAGCAGCCCTGAGGCTTACCCTACCCAGCCCCATCTTGGGAGGAGAAATCTACTTGCCACAGTTGCTCGGTGTTAGTGGTGTGCAGGCTGCCACACTACTTCAGAAATGCAGTGCCTGGACTTGTTCTCCGTGGTGATGAGGAGGCATGCTACATGAGGGAGACAGTTCATTTACAGCCCATCTCCCAGGTGTTGAGGATGGTAGTCCCCATGGCTGGGTGTTCCTCCGCAGACAGAGCAGCAAGGACTTGGGAAAACTAACTCCAAAAGCCTTTTTAGGAAGCATATCTCACGTGAGACACTTCGCAGTTTCAGTGTTATTCGTGATCAATTGTGATCATTTTAAATGGTGTGTGACATTTTAATACACACACACACACACACACACACACACTTGTTAAGAAAACTTATTCGAAGAACACTCATGTTCCCATAATACAGGGAAGAAAAGTGCCCCATGCTTTTGACATATTCCTGGCCAGGTTGACTTCCACCTCCAGGGTACAAACACTACAGACAGAGCCATCAGTGTAGGTTCGGCGGATTCCCATTTAATGTGGCACCAGTGGAGTCTTTTATTCCTAAGACCTGTGTACCACCTTTGTATTCTGGTACGTCTGAACCCCACAGGCTTAACCCTGTTCAAAAGAGCCATGGAGAGATAACGCTGTTGAACACAGTTGTAGAATAAATGGGCTCGGAAACCACAGCACCTCCCCATGTTGGTCAGATTTCACATCTTTTCTGTTTAGAGCCAAAGCTCTCATTCAGAGTGGCACTTCTCCGTGCCGAGCCACAGTCGGCTGCCCTCCATGCTGGCCTCCCGGATGTTTATGACGCCAGGGGAGGCTGGCCTTATGACATTTATTTTACACGCCTCAGATTTGGTCAGTTTTTAACATATCTTTCTTTATATTACAGATCCAGAGGAAGCAATTTACGATGATGTTCCAAGGGAGAACTCGGACTCTGAGCCAGGTTTGCTCTTGTCTGGATTGGAGTTTTAGGCCTTTTGTTGATGCTAACGTCACTAGTGTGTGTGTGCAGTCCCCTGGGTCCAGCATGCACGTTTTCTGTCTTTGTGTGCTCCGTGCTTATTTTGTAAGGGGTGTTTGAAGACTGCTGTGCTTGCTCACCACAGCTGATGCACAAAGAGCAGAAGATATAAAACAATGGAGCAAAGAGGTTGGAAATGCTGAGGCTGAGACATCCCAGCCTATGTCTACGAAGTGACGTAAATAGGGAAGTACAGAGAGTCAGGGTAAGGCTTTCTAGCTCTAGAGGAAGACAAATTGTCAGATTGTAGAGATACAAGCCCGAAGCCAGAACATGGACCTAACCTTGGCAGAGTTCCAGATCCCAGCCACAGCCTCAAAGCAGCACGAGAAACAGACAAGCCGCTGAGAGCAGTGAGAAAAGATGACAGGCTTCAGGGTAGCTGGGAGAATGAGGCTGCTCCTGCGGCTTCCCCATCCAGACGAGCGCAATATTTTTAACATGGCACAGCAGCCAGAGGCCTGGGTTTGTCCTCACAGACTGGAGAAGCCATGCTGTCCTCCAGGGAAAGGCTGCAGAAGCAGAGGGAAGCAATGGGCGGCAGGAGAACAGTGAGCCTGGCCGCTGGCAGGCCTGTGGTGAGCCACAAGGCATCAGGCAAGGCAGGTGGGCTGACCCCAGAGCTGTGCTCTCTGTGCTGGCAGCCGGACCCTCTGCACTGGTGGGCTGTATTTCAGGCAGAAGCGGTTGGTTTTCTTGTTGCTCTTCGTGGTCTGCGGTTTGTTTGCCCATGAAAGGTCCGGTGTGTATATGATGACAGCACCCGAGAGCATAGGAACACATCATTTAATTTCTGAACCAGTGAGCAAAACCAATCTGGTTGAAAGCAAGGGATTGTAAGTTAAAAAGAAAATGACAGACAGCCTGAGGAAAGATTGTAGAGTGAGTCTAAATGCTGACACTTACAGTTAATATAATTTCGACCCAGCTGCCTGTAAAGGCTTTCAGATTGAATAGCAACACTGGCCGTGGGTGTAACGTGAGGGACATGTAAGGACATAAGCAGACATGTAGAAAAGAAATATGGTAGCCCGCATGTATCTGTGTAACTAATAACCTGTTAGGTGTTGCAGTAGCCGCCATTGATAGCCACCTAACGAATACACATTAGCTGTCCTGCTCCCTGGCATTCTTAGAGGTACAAAGTGGCCTCATGTCAGAGGCTTCAGAAACACACAGAAAGTTCTGTCTGAGGTATGTCCAGAAACAAGTTCTTTTCGTAACCGGAGTGAGATTTTAACAAAGCCCTCGCCACTGTTGATGGGTGCTGGCTACAGAAGCAGCGGTTGTAGAACGCTGGTAGACTGGCTTAAAGATAGATTTGAAGACATAGTTTCCAAGTACATGTAATGCTTTAAAATTATGCACTGCACTCCAGTGCAAGCATTACCAACTGTATGTAAAAGTCAGTTGATGAACAGTCTGTCGTAGGGTTTCTATTGCTATGATAAAAGTGCCATGACCCAAAGCAACTTGGGAGGAAAGGGTTTATTATTTCAGCTTATAACTTTCAGGTCATCTGCCATCACTGAGGAAAGACAGGGCAGGGACTCGAAGGAGAAGACTGAAGCAGAGACCGTGAAGGCCTGCTGCTCGATGACTTTCCCTGCATGGCTTGCTCAGCCTGCCACACCCGCAGGAGTTGCACCACCCACGGGGAGGTGGGCCCTCCCACACCAGTCATTTCTCAGAAAATGTCCCGCAAGCTTGTCTACGAGCCAGTGAGGCGGGGGCATTTTCTCGGTTGGGGTTCCCTTGCTCAGATGACTCCAGCTGCGTCAAACGGACATTAAAGTACTACGCAGGCCAATACAAGTGATAAGAATAATATGAACATAGTTTTTAAAAGGATAAAAATAATGCACATCATTGCATCTGGTGGTAGACAGCTGTCATCCTAGCTACTCAAGAGGATGAGGTGGGGGGGAGGAGGGTTGGAAGTTCTAGGCCAGCCTGAGCTTCAGAGTGAGTTCAAGGCATGCTGGACCATAGTGTGGCCCAATAATAAAGAAAAAGATAAAGGGCCAGGAATATATAGAGGGCCACTGCAGAATGTGCAAGCTCCTTCATTCCATCCCCAGCATTACCATGAATGAATGAATGAATGAATGAATGAATGAATGAATGACAAATATTTAGAAATTTAAAACCACTTTACAAAGTTATACTATTATCTTCAGAACTCATCAAAGATGAAATCAGACTGAAAATCATAGCATAATATGACTTTAGTAATCTTTCAAACGTTCAGATTTACAATAGTAAAGTTATTGAGATAATAGCCTATGTTCAAAGTAGTGAGATCCAGCCCAGTTCTTTGGAGGACGGTACCAGCGGGCGGCAGAAAGGATGAGAGAAGCCATTTATCAACCTTAGGCCCCCCATCCATCAGGAGTCACCTCTGCATCACTTCCCACCTGCTTTTCACCTATAATATATATTTAATCCTTGCATATTCCACGCACAAAGAAAGATCTCCCTTTTGGGAAGTTCATGATGGCTGGCAAATTATTTAGTATATTGCCATGCTCTTTGCTGTGGTCGTTCTGGGTCCCTAGAGTGCCAGTGGTATAGTGATGTGCCAGAATCACACGCAGGGCATTTTTCAGAGTCCAGTCCCTGCCCACGTGGAGGAGGTCCCGAGAGCTAGAGTCCTCAGCAGAGTCGGCATTGTTCCTGAACAGTGCCAGACACCCTCCACCTGGACTTCGGGTGAGCGGGAACCTGGCAAGCTCATGACCTCAGAGTTAATTCAATATCGCCTTGCTGTGCGCACCCAGATGAAATGATTTATGATGATGTGGAGAACGGAGACGAAGGTGGCAACAGCTCGCTGGAGTACGGGTGGAGTTCCAGTGAGTTTGAAAGCTACGAGGAGCAAAGTGACTCGGAGTGCAAGAATGGAATTCCCAGGTCCTTCCTGCGCAGCAGCCATAAAAAGCAAGTAGGTGCTTGGTCTGTGTGATAGGCAAGCGTCCTTCTGCTCGCCCGGCAACAGGACTGAGAAATGTGTTCGGAGCCACACACATTTCCATGGTTGTTTCTCAGACATCCATGAGTAGTTTGGAGAACATAAGGGTACCAGCTAAGCAGCCTCTTAGCTCTGAGCACAGAAGGATCTGATTACAGCCCCATAAAGTCACTTTTACAGTCCTAAACAGGCTCACCAGCAGGCCTCTGAGGAGGTGGTAAAAGCCAAGGGTGTTGACATGAGTGTAATCCCGCACTTGGGAGTTTGAAGTTGTAGGATTGCCGGGAACGTATGGTTTCAGGACAGCCAGGGCTGCCGAGAAAGACCCCTTCTCAAGAAAGAAGAAAAATATCAGTGGGTACCGAAGTAGTAGAGTCTGGGCAGTTGCCGTCCTTGTGTGCAGAGGGAGCTGGCTGGGGCTTTGGATAGCACAGGCCCCACTCTGCTTTGCTTCCACGCTGTCCTGCCAGTGACCAGCTGCATGTCCTCTGGATGATGTGTAAACAGGACTGAGAAGCAATGGTGAGCCATGAGGCTCCATACCTGGATCATCGTTTCCTAGAGAGAACTTTTATTTCTGGCGTAAAACTTCTTAGGTTACAGTCCAGGGAGGAACAAGGAAGCCCTAGAGTGAACGTTACACTGAGGCTGGGCCTGGCCCTGACTACAGCTTGCTCTGTAGCGGGATTCTCTGTGGCTGGCTGGGCCACATACTCTTGTTGGTGGGGTCCCCTGTAGCCAGGCAGAAAAGGGTTTCTGGGCAGTGCGTGTAACTCCTGTCGGTGGCATTCCCACGACAGGGTGAAAGGGCTGATTGACCGTGTACAGTCACAGTGGTGTCTGACCACTTCCTGTATGAGGTTGACGCAGCCCACGTGAGGGGCTCATCTGAGGCCCGGTGCCTGCCTTTGTGGTAGTTAACCATAACCTCCCTACGTGCTCGCCTTCCCCCAGTGACTGCAGCAGCCAGAGGCTGTGATCACAACCACGTTTCTGTGTCACCAGAGAACTGTCATATCCTCTAACTTATTTCAAACTCAAGGACAGTAGTACCAGCTCGCAGCCAGGCTTTGTCCAGGAACCTAGGGGTGCAGCTGGGATCTGTCCAGGGATGGATTTGCAATTGCAGCCAGGGGAACTCATGATGAGGTGAGGTTTGCCTGCAGAGAGCTGAATTAGACACTCCTGACCTAAACCATGGTCCTTAAAGAGTAACCCAGCGTCCAGGTGCCCAGGAACACCTGTGCTGCAGCAGACACTTCAGGCCCGTCCTCCTGATTGGCTCTGGCAGATGGCATCCAGTCTGGCAAAGCCAGTGGGGCTGCTCTTCTTGCCCTCAAGGTGGACTCATACTTAATGTCAAGCCTCCGGAAATGCCAGTGGGGAGGGTGGCAGGTGAGTCATCAACCTTTTGTTGCTAGGGGAAGCACTAGAGATGTCAGTGGGAAACGGCCTGCGAGTGTGGAGTAGTAAGGAAAGGGCATGGAGCCCACATCTCCTGCTTGGAGGATGGGGGCTGAGGACCTGGAGGGTAGGCCTGCTCAACATGGAAGTGCAGGGAGAGGAATAGGCTTTCTAGATGAGGGTGTCATGTCTTAAAAACTACCAGTGTAAAACTGAGTTGCTGAAGTAGTATCAGATTTCTCTTAAACATTATTTAAAGTGTCCGTGTCCTGGTTGACAGGAGACATTACCCTCTGGGGAGAAATGGCTAGCTGTGTGTGTCTGAGATGGTGGTGACTGTAAGAAGGTTGGTTCGGTGCACATGGCCAACCCATCAGTTAGGGTGTCTTGTTAACAGGGAGACCGTCTTCCCCCACAGCAGCTGCACTGCAACAGCCTTGAATACCAGGCCCCTCCCCTTGGATGCTGGAGCAGACTAGCCTTATGTGTGCCACGTGTGCAAATTCCTCTCTCTAGGATGCATAACTGAACGGTCTTACACAGATCTTGCTGTACATTTATTGGCTCTGCTCTTCCCTGGAGCGTATGCACTCAGCAATGGGAAGAGCGTGTATCCTCCCTGCACGCCTCACTCATGCATGCGTTTGCCTGTGGTCCACAGAGCTGGCCGTGGCCTCCCCCAGAAGGCGTCACATCCCTTCATGCAGGACAGCCTCTGGGGACCCACAGAGCCTGTCCTGAAAAGCATATCTCTTTGTGCCGCAGCTCTCTCATGACCTAACCCGCTTTAAGGCGCACTGTGAGGAAAAGATGAGAGGCTTGGTGGCCAGTACGGTGGGAAGCGTGGAGGCGCAGCAGGCAAAGCACAGCAGGCAGGAGCGGAAGGTAGCGTGGCTCCTCCTTACCCCTCTGCAACCAGCATGTGGCCCAGAGCCCGCCTCGCTGTGCATAAGACAGACGCCATGTGCAACTCAGCCAGAACAGCAGTTCTCAAAGCACGGCCCTGGGCTCCCAGGTCACTCACGCATTTCCAGGGCCATCGTTAATGATTTCTGAACGTGGTCTGTCCCAAGTGAAGGGAGGAGGTTTCTAGGAGCTTTGCAATCTGTGACATCACACCAGAGAGAGTGTAGAATCAGCAGGGTCTGGGAGATGCCAGGAAATGCAAAATAAACATCAATTTTTGTTTTGGAAAATGAAATCATTTCTCATAATTATGTTATTTCATGTAAAATGCAACAGACTGATTATCTTTTAAGTAAATACCAATATAGCATCTAAAGTTGTTACCAATTTTAACTTAAATACAGTTGCTATAGATTAATAAATATAAATGAAAGCCAAGTGAAGTAAAGCAAGTGCCTAGCAAGCTCAAGGCCCTGTGCTCCATTTCTAGCATAGCTCAAATACACAAAAATGATTGTGAAGCTTAAGGGACTCCTAGGCCAAAAGTTTGAGAACTACTGGGTTTGCGTATTGTAGTCAGTCCTTTGAGATGTGTTTTAAAAGGGCACTGTCAAGTAACCTTCACTGACCCTCCACCCTCTGGCACCCTGTGATTATTCATGTGTTAGATGGAATTTCACTAAAACCGATGTGCTTGGAGCCAGCTCTGGGCAGGTGGTGGCTCCTATCTTGAGCATTTATATACTAGGCTTTCTGAAGAGCCATCTACCCTCGAGTCCTCTCACTGGTTGGTTCCCTGCAGGGCAGTGAGAAGACAAAGGCAGATCCATGAGGCCGTTGGCTAACTCTTGGGTTTTCCTGGGAACCACAGGCTCTCTGCCAGATGGTCAGCTGAGTCCAGCTTAGAAATGTGTGGATGATGGTGAGTGACCGGTCAAAGATGTGAGCAGGCACTAGGAACATGAACAGTAAGAGTCTTGCATTCAGGTTGAGCCTTGGGTGAGTCTCCTTACCTCCCAGAATTTGGTCTTACCTGCCTAACATGGAAATGTGCTTTGGGATTTAGGGGATCTCTCTGCCCCCCAGTCTGCATTCCTCTGATTATTCTGATGTGGTCAATTGGGGCTAGAGGTGCAGTTGCCCAGGGTAGGGTCAGGACGAACAGGACCAGTACCTGCAGTGAGCTAAAAGAGGTAGCCCTTAACATACCAACATGTTAAGGTCATGTATGGGGCTGAAGGCACAGGAATTAGGATCGGGGGCAAGAGTCACTTTGATGTTTTTACTGTCACAAGAAAGAATGGTTACAAAGGGATAGAACTCTAAGTTGCTGTGCTGGATTGGAAGTGGAGATGAGGGGTTGATTATGGCTATGCCAAACAGTTGTTGAAAGCAGCAGTGTCAGCATTGGGAAGTAAGGGACTTTAGTATGGACTCTCCCAAAGATAGCCTGCCTTGTTCCCTGGGTGAAGTGGTCCAGAGCAGGTAGCAGAGGCATGAGCTGCAAGCTTAGTTGCCATGGCAGCCTGCTGAGAGTTGTGATCTGGCCAAGAGCTGGTATGAGGGATGCTGTCTTCTTTCTTTATCGGCCTCTTGGTTTTTCTCTGAAAGAACATTCAGTGTCCATTGTCAATACCTTCAACACCAGCTGTGTAAAGAAATGAGACACGAGCATATGCCAAAGCCACTCTCAGGCACCTGTGACTTAAATTTGAATGTTAAATCACAGCTAGTCCAGTGAACTCAACCTGCATGGGTTGTCTTTCTGATTTATATCTCGACAGAGGAATTGGCTGCCTTGCACCTGGACCAGTCTCGGCCACTCTCTAGCCCTGACTGTGTCTTGTCCCTCTGAATAAGTGAGTGTAGCTTTACCTGGGATGAGTCAGGAAGGACCTCTGTGGAGAACATCCAAAGTTTACTTGAAGCCTTGAGCATGCAATTAACTCTCTGCCCTTGGATTAAGGGCATGCTTTGTAGACTGCCACCATACAGAACAACTTGTGTTTGGAAGAGATTGCAATAATAATAACAATAATACCCCACTTTGATATAGAAGGAAAGTTTTTGAGTCATGTCAAGGAAGGGCTCTTTAACAACAAAAAAAACAGAAAAAAAAATCAAAAGTATTCCAAAATCACAAACACATGCACACTGAAAATGACCAAGAAGCCTCGCCCAAACTGAAAAGCTCATTCCAGGTGACTTTTCAACCCAGACTACTTGACAGTATTCTTTTAAAGTAACAGCAGCAGCTGCAGCACATGGAACGGCCACAGCTCCTTACTCATTTGCTTCTGCTTTACAGATGCAAAAGCTCATGAAGGCAGCCAAGGAGGGCACCAAAGATGGGCTGGAGAAGACCAAAGCTGCTGTGAAAAGAGGCCGCTCCTTCATCAGGACCAAGTCTTTTGTCTCTCAAGGTCTGGGACTCATTTTTGTATCCAGCATGAACCCGGCTCTGCTTTCCTTTCCCTTACCACACCTGGTCATGTGAGGAGAGACAGTGTGAGAAGTTCCCACACTTCTCAGCAGAGACACTTCTGCCCCACCCAGGTGACCTAGGCCTGCCGCTCCCAAATGATGGACACTCTGCTCTTAGAGGCCCCCATGCAGCTGCCGGGTATTGAGACTCATTGGCAAATACATAAGGGGGTGCACACAATAAAATCAGAACATTAAGGGAGCTCTTGCAAATAGCTGACTCTCCAGCTGCCTCCTCTCACTAGAGGGTAGTGTCCCAGTTGCTCCCCTGTACCCCTTCTCTAGAGCCCTCAGGGGTGGGGATCCCTATCTGTAGATTCCTAATCACTTCACCCATCCCAAACAAGACTAGTGCATGACACACTGATTGAGTATTGGCTTTCCCAGCTCTGCCATTCTACATGGATTAGTGCTGTATATCAAGAGGTGGTCCTCTACACAGGCCAGTGGAAGCCTTTTTGCCAGGGAGAGAAGACTTGCTGGTATCACAGTGCTCAAGTTTTCCTAAGTCTCACTAAAGATCCTGTGTAATCTTTATGACCTGTGTGTGTCTGGGGACACCAAATGCTGTCCTTTGGCTCAGAGGAAGTTCATGGACCACCACTCATGGGATTTGAGGTCCCAGCTATTATCTGAAGGCTAACAAGTCCTTCTGGGATAAGTGCAGCAAATGTTTGGCTCAGGATGGGATGGTTCTTGTGGGGTGTGGTTAGGAAAGAGGTGTAGTACCTCAAAGGTGTGTCCCTAAACAGGACATCTGTCTCTACTTCCCAAGCTGCCAAATCACCACTTGGTCTGAGCCAGAGTTCATGGTCCTGGATGTCTCTGAGTTACCTGGAAAGCTCTTTAGAAGTATCACATGCTCAGGTCCCTAGCCATCTAGTTGGCCTTTTGGAGTTTCTTTTACCCAGAAGCTCTTGTGCCCACCACTTCCAGACACAGCTCGGTCTAGTTCTTAAAGGTGGATTCAGTTTGATTTCACCTTTTTGCCCCTGTGCTAGGAGTGGAACAGACCCCATCAAATTGCTAACAAGCACTCCACCACTGAGCCGCATTCCCAGCTTCAGTTTAAAGCTTTTGGTTTTTGTAAAGTTTTTTTCAGCCCTCAGTGTGAGAAAGACAGGAAGGTGAGAAGTAGGTCCCACTTGCTGCTTTTTCTGCTTCCGATTGTGTGCTATGTAATATTAGAATCTAAAATATCTATATCTACCTTTCCATTTGGCTACCTAATATCTTTGATTGAAATTAAACTTCAAAATCTCAAATATTGATGCTTTTTTACCCTTGTGGTAGAACTTTTTATTGGGTTTGTTAAAATTTCAGTTTAATAATAGCCAGGTGGAAAGTACATATATGGATTTGAAATGCTTACACAAAAGATTTATTTTAAAACACAGCTTATTTTACACTCTGATAATGCCAGAAATACAGAATTTTGATGAGAAACTCATGCATTTCTTCTCTCTCTTTCTCTGTCTGTCTGTCTAGATCACAGGTATTGCTTTGAAGAAGAGCAGAATTTGTTCATTGATGTTGACTGCAAGCACCCGGAGGCTGTCCTGACCCCAATGCCCGAGGGCTTATCTCAGCAGCAGGTAAGTGAGCGGCGGGTGCTCGCGCTGCAGGACCTGCTGCTGCTGTCACTGATAACCCACCATACGCTGTGCCTTCCACAGTTCTCTCCTAACCCAGCAAGGGAAAGAAAGGTCTGGTCGTAGCTCTGGCCTCAGCACAGGTCCCTAAATACCATAGATATCACCGCTATGTGTAAGTGTGAGAAATGTGTGGCACGTACTTCTTTGTCACAAACTATTCATTCTAGTTCATACTACAGAGACAGTAAGACATGGTGGTCCATGCCTGTAATCCCAGCACTGGGGAAGTTGAGACAGGAGGAATGCTTCCAGTTTGAGGCCAACCTGGGCTACATAGCAAGACCCTATATCAATAAAACAAAACCCTCAAAGAGGCAGTATACAGGTGTGTGTAAAAGATGTATACAGCCCGGATGATCCTCAGTGGTCCGGGGTGCAGGCTTCAAACCTGTAGCTGTTGGGGGCTGGAGAGATGGCTCAGAAGTCAAGAGCACTGGCCCCTCTTCCAAAGGTTCTGAGTTCGATTCCCAGCAACCACATGGGATCTGGTGCCCTCTTCTGATGAGTAGGTGTATATGCAAGGCAGAACTGTATACATTATAAATAAATCTTTAAAAAAAAAAGATGTATACATAGGTGCCTAAAATTGAGATTAAAGTGATATACGTTATTTTTAACGACTCACTGTTTATTTTATGTATGTGAGTGTTTTTCTACATGTATGTAAGTACACCGTGTGTATTCATGGGGTCCATGGCAGTCAGAAAGGGTATCAGATCTCCTGGAATTGGAGGTACAGGTGGTTGTGAGTCACCATGCAGGTGCTGGGAACTGAACTGGTCCTCTGAAAAAGCAGCCAAGGCGCTTAACCACTGAGCCATCTTTTCAGCCCCCAAATGATAGACTTTTAGTAACTAATGAAATTATCTGGAAATGATTCAATTCTTAACATCTGATAGAAAGTACAGAGGAGATATGTCAGTGGTTTCAGTTTGATTTTACTGGGTAAAAGTGAAAAACACTTGAAACAAATAATTTAATGTGTGAAACTTTGAGGGAGTGAAAATTATTTGGACGGGATTTGAGGCCTTTTCCACATGGATAGCAGAGTAAAAATTGTGTCCAGTAAAATGGTTGGATGTGTGAGCAGGTGGGTTGGTGAGTGGTTGGATAGGTGGGTGGGTAAGTGGGTGGATAGATGGATGGATGGTGAGTGGGGAATAATACATAGATGCATAAATGAAGATGACTAACAAGTTAAAGATGAACTAGTGGATAGGTAGGCAGACCAATGATAGAGATGCATAGATCATGTATCGGTACCTAGATACAAACCACGGACATGTAAGGAGAACAACATAAAGTGCTAAGTTGCAAGGTTAGAGTTGAAAGGTTAAAGAGGATGTTTAGGAGTTAATAGTTGGCCAGGCTCTGTGAGCCAGCTTACCCTCTCTTAGAATTGAAAATGGAACCAAGGCAAAATATGGTTCGTCAGCAGGGCTTTACACGCATGCACGCACACACGCAAGGAGGTGTGGACAGCCAGGGAGCTGTCTGGTTAATTACTAGTTGGTGCAGCTGAGGCTGGATGCAGTCTAGCCCTGTGGTCCTCCAAAGCCCTCTGTCTGTCTGCATTTTACAGAGAGAGAGCTGGTCATTCAGAGGAGGCTGATGATCTGAACCGCTCCTGGCAGATACACATGGGAAAGTCTGATTTTTGCGTCTCAGTCTCATCACAGGTCCTCTCTTGACCCCTCCCTCATGTCTCCCAGCTGGGGACATAACCTGAGCTGCTGGCCAGAAAAGGATTATTGACAGCTTGGCCTGGAAACAGAGAACCTGGCACTTCCTCTCTGTTGCTGTCTGCCCCACCCACCTCACTTGAGCATGAGTTATAATAAGGGAAAGGCTTACTGACAGCATTCTTGAGATGCTCCAGCATTACTCTTTCCACGTTTGACCATATATAGGATCTCAGCTTGGTATCAGGCACAAAAGATATGAATGATACCTGGATCCTGGTTCTCTTTCAGCATCCCTGTGCCAGACAGGAAGCTCAGAGGAAATACTGTCTCTGGTAGACAGAGGGACAGATCCACAGAGGAGGTAGGACAAGGCATAGATCCCTAGAGGTGGGAGGATGGAATGAACCTGATGATCCAGGTAGCCATTCAGCAGACACCATCCAAACAAAAGGAATAGGCTGGAGCTAGACAAGCAGCATTGGTGGGCGTAAGACCAAAAACAGGGCAATAGAGTGTGTGAGAAAGTCGACAGGCCTGTCTTGAAACAGTGGGCAGGGATGTAGAGTAGATGGGCTACTGAGCTAGGGTATCTAGTGTGTGAGGAAACAGCAAATAGAGCCTCGGTGTTTGTGAGGAGATACAGGTATGTCAGCTCTGTGCGGACATAGATGTTGTGTGGGGTGTGTGAAAGGATAGTGTGTATGGGAGATAATGACCAGGGGTGTGAGGAAACAGTGGATAGAGGTGTGGTGTGTGTGAGGAGATGGTGATACCACATGAGGAGGAAATGGCTAGTAGCATATACAGGCATCTTCTGGGGACAGCCACTGATAAGATTTTATCTTATTTCTGCCTCGTTTATTTGCTTACTTACATTTTATTTGTGCGTGTGTGTATGTGAGCACATGAGTGATGTGTGTGTGTGTGTTTGTGTTTGTGTGGTGTGTGGAGTCAGTTCTCTCCTTCCACCTTGGGTTCTGGTGATGGAACTCTAGTCTTCAGGCTTTCGGGGCAAGTATCTCACCTGCTGAGCCATCTGGCCAGCCCACCCAGGATTTTAAACAGGAGCTATCGGCACATCTATAATCCCAGCAGCCTCTTGGATGCTCGTTGTGCTTAATAGGACAGGGAGTGGGGTGCAGGTGCCCTCTGGGTTACATGGGTGACTGTTATATAGAAGAATCTCTGCAGGAGACTGTAGTCCTGAATCCCACCCTTAGGTCCACACTAGGATTGGCTTGGCTACATTGGTTGAGTTTAACGCCAGCTCTACTTCTGCATGGCATGGAGAGAGCTGTTATCAAGTAGCCCATGAGTTCTTACTTTTCACATGCTAATGAAGGTCTGGGGGAGGAATATGAGTGTCATCTCAGCACTGGTGACCTGGAGCAGGGGTCCTGCAGTTCTGCGTTCATTGTCAATTTGCTTTCCTACAGTTGTGAATCACATGCATCATTTTTCCTCCTGGCTACTGAGTTCTCCTTAAGAGTTATGTCTTTAAGGGTTAAACCGGGGGTGGTGATGCTTTTGGATTCTTTTTTTTCCCCCTTCTGTAACGGGTAGAAGGTCATATAAGTAACCGGAAAGGCTGCACCTCGGATATTCTTCTCATGCCCTATTTTGGGAAGGGATAGGGCAGCAGCTCTTATATTTTGGAGACTTTATTGAAAATTATTTGCATCCTGAGGGCACTAAGTCTTACCAGGCACCCTATAACAACCAGTGTGCGGACAAGAGTGGCATGGATGGTCTGGAAGCTCTTTAAGCTCAGGCCCCAGTAATTAATGCTCACAATGCTCTGACTTCTCAGCAGACCTGTCACCTTGAGGACAATGCCGCCTCCCTAGTTTGTTCCTTCGGATTTGTAGTTCTTAGGGCGATGTTGCATCACATGCCATTTGATGTGTCCGTTCTAAGTGCCTGAGAAGGCTGACATCACCTACAGCAGCAAGAACATCCTGATGGTGGGGTGGAGCTTGATTGTTGACCACCTAATATCAGTTTCTGGCCCCGTGACCTAAGCTGTTGTCTCGGGATCTTAAGTGATATTTGAATCCTTAGGTTAACCCTTTGGTAGTACTCAAGAACCTTGGGATAGGGTCTGGACTTGTTAATTTTTAGGAACAGTAGCCTATTTCTGCCCACAGGAGTGAAGAGCCCACGCTCTAGCTACTCCTGAGAATGAACTAAGGTAGTGGAAATGGCCTCATGGCCACTAATCCCCTAATCCCACTACATCTGTTTGTTTTTGTTTGTTTGTTTGTTTTCTTTTTTGAGGCAAGTTCTTGATTTGTAGGCAAAATGGTCAGGAATTCACTACGTTGCCCAAGTTCATGGTCAATCCCCCTGCCTCAGCCTCCTGAACACTGGGATTACGGGTGTAAGCCACCAAGTCCAGTGTTTACACATCTTCTTAAAAATAGAATTGGTGAGAGACTTAGTTGGTAATGCTTGCTGCATGTGCATGAGGATTTGAGTTGACTCCCAGAAACTGTGTAAAAAGTCAGGCATGCTGAGGTGCATCCTGGCAATGGGGAGGCAGGTCAGCCAGACCTCTGTGGCTCACTGGCCAGCAAGCCTACCAGACTCATGATCCACAGGCCAGCAGAAGATCCTGTCTCAAGAATCAAAGTGTCTGGATACGACACACAGATTTGATCTCGGGCCTACGCACTGCCTGCCTGTCTCTCTTACACACACGCACACACAAACATACACACATCTACCCGTTCCTTTAACTGTCCTAGAAGCTTCACTGTCGCCTTAGTTCTGTGAGTTGAATTTGTAGTTCTTTTTCTAAGAGAGCAGTGACTGTCTTGTTGACGTGTCATAAGTGCTGGTTAAACTGTGAACCACATGAGTGTTCTGTGTGGAAATGACTTCTCGGCCCACGAGGTGGCACTGCTGTATGCTCAGATAATGTCACTTAGCAGGTGTTTGGCCTGGAGGAGTTCCTCCGTGCGCCTGTGTGTGTGTGACGGGCGTGCATGTGTCCACGTCATGTGTGATGGTGATGTCTGTAAAAATGCATGTGTTGAAGATGTTATGTGTTTGTGAGTGTGGTGTTAATTCTTATTTCCCATTTATGGCGCTTTTACTTGCTGGGGTGTACTTGGGCTCCAAATGTTGCTGGCAGTTTGCAGACCTCTTACAACCACATGCCCATACTTTACATAACAGGACAGAGTTAACACACTGCCTAGCTGGGTCTTAGCAACACATGGCCTGTTCTTCTGCCTCCCGCAGGCATTCTACCTGTCTATAACTTGAGAATGAATCTCAGGTTGATGTTGCAAGTGGCATTATTTGGTTGGGGACGAAGCTATTTTGGCCTCCATTTATACATGAAACGTCCTGTCACTTAGTATTTAAAAACACAACACTTGATTGGCTAACTCAGACCATGGATGTTGCATAAGTGAGCGAGTTTGTTTCTCTTGCTACAATTGCATTTGCTCTGCTGTAGTTATAGTTTGTAATTTGAGGTTTAAAAGGTGACAGTTGTATCAATAGAGAGGTGTGTTTTAATTACCACTATGCTACTTGAGTAACATACCACTTAAAACATTTCCTCAGAGTCTTCTTTGAATTCCATTTTCTTTCTCTCTCTCTCCTCCCTTCCTCCCTCCCTCCCTTCCTCCCTCCCTCACTCTCCCTTTCTTCCCCCCTCCCTCCCTCCCCCCTTCCGTCCCATGCTCTCATTACCCTGGCTGGCCGGAACAGAGATTCACCTGCCTCTGCCTTTCAACTACTGACTAAAGTCGCACACTACCACATCTGGATAAAACTAGTTCTTTAATCAGTAAGCTTGAACATAAAAAGTTGATCTGTGTGTATCCTGAAGCAATTTTCTCCCATCTTATGTTCAATTTCCCACAGGTTGTGAGAAGATACATTCTGGGTTCCATTGTTGAAAGTGAGAAGAACTATGTAGATGCTCTCCGGAGGATTTTGGAGGTAGCTTGGCCTGTGTTGCATACATCATACACCTTCTCTACCCATTTGTCATAGTTTTGCTGTATATGTTTCTGTAGGCGTATGATTTATGACCAAAAACTATAATTTGAGAATTTTTTCCAGGAGTATACATGTTGTAACTGTGTCCTGTCACTGAAAGTCACATGATCTGCTTTGATGTGAGAATGGCTGTCTTTGCAGTCTGAGTGACTGAACTGTCCACACTTGTTTCTGCTTCAGCAATATGAGAAGCCGCTGTCAGAGATGGAGCCCCGGCTCCTGAGTGACAGGAAGCTCAAGATGGTGTTCTACCGAGTCAAAGAAATCCTGCAGTGCCACTCCATGTTCCAGATCGCTCTGGCCAGCCGTGTGTCTGAGTGGGACGCCGTGGAAACAATCGGCGATGTTTTCGTGGCCTCGGTAATCCAGCAGACCCCATTTCCCACCCCACCTGAAGCTCTGTGGGTTCTGATCATGAAGACACATGCCCCTTTCAGGGTGGCATCACTTCCCTGAACCCCAGATTCCAGAAGGGTGCATGCTGATATGTGGGTGCCCTCACCCAGTTTTTACCATTATAGAAGGAGCGGGGGCCCTTCCTTGGGGGGCAAAGGGGACTGTGCAGAGGTTCAGGACGAAAGGCAGATCCAGAGAGGCTTAAGTGTATGTGCTTCATCGCACTTCGATTGCACAGTCATTTACCTTAGCTGCACTTTTGCTGCTGAGCGAGCGCCCTGCCTGTGTAATGGCAGTATCAGCGGGCCCCTTCCTGGTGTAGGTTGCATCTTCTCTCTATATTTTCTCTATGCCTACTGACTGTATGAAACATGAGTGGAAAGTATCTGGGTGTTTTCCTTAACCTTTTCTTCTTTGAACGGGATGTTTTATTCTGTGAACCGAGGATTTGGTCCTGCATGTGGCACAGGAACATAATGCTGGGACAGCTTGCAGGTGACACTTCCTGGCAGCTGAAGCAGCTGCCCGGAAGCCAAGGGCACAGCAGTGCCATGTCATCGACTTGGAGTGGTTTTGTCTCTGCTCTTTATGACTGTCATGCACTGTGTGCGCCGTTTCCCCGTCAGTCTGGATATAGAAGGCTGTGGCCGAAGCTATGGTTACTTAAGAAGACACTGTCAAAGGGACCAAGCTTGTGGGGAAAGACATGTGTACTTAAGTGAGGCTACGCTGCTAACAGAGCAAACTTTTTAAAAGTAATTTTTATTTGTTTCTAAATTACATTCTGTTTGTTTATTGTGTGTGCTGGGGGGCACACACGTGGAGGTCAGAGGACAAGTTTTTGTAGTCAGCTCTCTTCCTCTACCATGTGGGTCCTGCTGATTGAACTCAGCTTGTCAGGCTTAGGGGTAAGCACCTCTAGGCCAAGTCATCACACTGGCCCTGTTATATTTTTTTTGAGATAGAATCGTGCTGTCCTTGAACTCCAGATCACCTGAAAAGCCGGAGCCTCCTAAGCGTGATGCTGCCGAGCTCTTCTTTCCATGTAGTTTGTACAAACACTTAATGAAGTGGACAAAACAAATCACATGACTTTCAGTGTCCGTGCACAGGCACCACACACACAAACACACACACACGCAGGTGCACTGGGGTCAGCCCTGTGATTCCCTGCCAGGCAGGCCTCAAGTGCCCATGAATATGTAGGAAGGAAGAGCTCATGCAGTTCTGACAGCTTGTCATGCGAGAGCATCGTGAAGGGCGTGTTCCCAGCCTTGTCTTCCCCAACCCCCACGCTCCAGTTCTCCAAGTCCATGGTGCTGGATGCTTACAGCGAGTACGTGAACAACTTCAGCACAGCCGTGGCGGTCCTCAAGAAGACATGTGCCACAAAGCCTGCCTTCCTTGAGTTCTTAAAGGTAAGGGTGCTCTCCCTGTGTTGGGTTGTAACTCTACCTCATAACATGTCTGATGTCAAAGTACCTTAGAATGAAACTGGACTGAGCCCTGCCTTGAATGTGTGATGCAGTCTGGTGTAGAGAGTCCGTACCATCAGGTCCCAGGCATCTGTGTAGACTGGTGGAGGTTTAGGGATTGTAGCCTGCAGCATAGCTTGTTGAACTGTTTGTTCACCTTAAATGTGTATTTATATGTATAATATGTATACGCATGATATGATATATATAATACACATATATATATATATACACATATCATGTGTATACACACACACATATATAAAGGACGTTCAGTTGGAGAGCACAGGTGACAGGGCCTCCCATCTCCTCATGGTGTAGGGAGTAACCCAGTCTAGATCACAGGTTGGAAACGATCCCCTTCCTGGGACAGAGCAGTTAGACAAGGCCTGAAAAGGCTGACCCTGTGAGGGGGCGCGTGTGTCGGGGATATGGGGCCTGTGCCTTCCATTGTCAGGCTGAGCATCTCAGGCCCTGCTGTCCTCTTCTACCCACCACCGAGGGCGGTTCCCTGGCGCCTGCTGCTCTACAGGCTGGGCTCAGAGTCCAGCATGTGAGAGTGTCCTAGCTCAGCATGTGCTCTGAACCATATTACAGTCCCCTTCAAGGAGCTGGGGCCTCTCTGCTCAGACTCATTTGAATGATAAAGCCTTAGGGCACAGTGTGTTCTCAGCATTTGGACTGTGTTCCTGGAAATTGCTGCTTCCTAGGGTAAGGAGACCCAGGGCAAGAGTTCTTGCCAGCGCTGATGTTGTATTTAAGGTGGGATGATTTCCTCTCTTTCCTTCTACTGACCACAGCTCAGGTCTCCGATGTTCCATGGCCAAGGACGGTTATCCAGAAGTTAAATATTCTCTTGCTTTGGAGAAGCTGAGCTCTGTGTCCTTGAGCTATGACATCATTCTTTTCCCTGGGGGAAACAGAGATATTACTGAGTTAAAATCAATCTCCTCCTTTGAGGGTTTCATCAGAAACTTGATATAAACTGTGGCATTGCAGTGGCCACAGTCCCCACTGGTGTCCTCCCCAAAGGCAGGTGACCTTGAGTCTAGGCCTAGCTAAGACTTGCTGTACACTGTGCACTGGACAACAACCTTCACTGTGCAAGGTTATTATATGGAGATGTCCTGGGTGGAGCCTCAGGTGGTCTAGTACTGACATCACCCTGGACACTGAGAGATGCTGGTCAAGGGCACTGAGAGGTGCTGGGAGGAACTTTCTCTCTGAAGCAGCATAAGGGGTCCTAACCTCTCCTGGAGCAGACTGGCCAGCATGGAATCCTGAGAATCCTGGGAACTATAGCAGGGCCTGAGATAGCCAGGTGGGGCCCCTCCTCAGGGCTGGTGGCAGCAGTGAGTCCTCCCCAGGGTTGGGGTAGAAAGTATTTGTAAAGTTTCCTCTTGGTGGAGCTAAAAAATTGAAGCAGGGCGTTGAGCAGCCTGTTCCTCATCCGCGCTCTGTGCTTCAAAGACACAGCTAGGGTGAGCCACCACTCAGTAGCTTCCCATTCTTCCTGCAGCTGAGCCAGGATTCCAGTCCCGACCGGGTCACCCTCCACAGCCTTATGATGCGGCCCATCCAGAGGTTCCCGCAGTTCATCCTCCTACTGCAGGTATGCTCTGGGAAAGACCGGGCAGGAGGGGTTGGCCCTGCTGAAGGGTCTCTCCCCTTCCTTTCCCTCCTCTTCCCTTCTCTCCCCTCTTCTCCCCTCTCCTTTTATCTCCCTCTCCTTCCCCCCTCCCCTCCTCACAGGGGACAACAGGGCAGAATCAGCAGTATCCACAGAGGTGATATCTACTGTCTATGGAGACCAGAGGAGTCTGGAACTGGACTGAAGGATGGATGCAGGCTGTCATCTGGGTTCTAGGAGCCAAACAGTGTCCTCTGTAAAAGCAGCATGTGCTCTTAACCACTGAGCCATCTCTGTATGTAAATTGTCCAATTTTGTTGTTGACAGAGTTTCATATGATTTATGTACAGAGCAGAACAGTTTGATCATGAAAACTAGAATCTTTGGCTTTTCATGCTGAGATCTTTCCTAGTTTTAAAAAAACAATAGCACTTAGGGAGAAGCTGGTCATCAGAGATTCAGACAATGCCCATGCCATTCTAACAGCAGAGTTGGTCAGCGTGAGAGAATTAATGGACCGGAATAATAGATGTGGAACATTAAGGAATCATAAGCAACAACTATGAGGGACTGATTAAAAGTCTGCCTATGAGCTGTGTGAAAGGCTACGAGAGCATTTGTTGAGAAAAGGCTACTGTTTGGCTCCAGGGGAGCAATCATTTAGCATGCAGCACTTGCACAGAAAAAGCCACCTCTGCGATCTTTGTGGTAACTTTAGAAAAGGTGAGCGCTCTGCCCTTCAGTGCTGGCTATACTCCGTAAGCCTGGCGGCAGGATACAGAGCCATGCTCAGCTCTGGGGGTGGGGGGTTGTGATGCCCTGTAGACCCTGCAGGAAACATTCCTGAGTCCTGTTTGTAGCAGTGGGAAAGCGTCAGCCCCGTGTCTAATCCAGGTAGTTCCTGCTCTTCATTATGGCGTGTAAGCTGTTAGTCAGAGCTTTAGTCACCTAAGAACCTTCTCCAGAACTGGAGTCGGCCCTTTCACGTGCAAGTCCTTATTGTTTTGTGCTGCTCACAGCACTCACCAGAAGCTGAGCTTCCTTCAGCAACTCTGGCTTTGTAAGACTTCAGCAATCGAGGCTCCACCTCTGGCTCTGGTCAGTGTTTCCCAGTGATTTCCTATACATTTGCTGCACCGTGCTTTGTCAAGCACCTATACCATTTTAAAAGAAGTCCTTTGCTCTGTGTAGTTGGTCTCAGTGGTGAGCTTAGCTGCATCATCTCTCCAGTAGAGTCAGCCTGCCTCTGTAGCTCTGAGTTGGGCACTGGCTGCCCTCTCTAGTGGGGTGAATCTTCTACTGTAAGCAGGCATAGGTTTTGCTGGAGGTCCATCAGATAGCCAGCAGTTAGCTCAGCTGGAACTTCCGGTGCCCTTGCTATGCCTTCTCAATCAGCCCCTGCCTCATTACCTTCCTGTCAGGTTACAACGATGCTCTGTGCCTCCTGATTCCAGCCTCCCCCACCTGTGGGCTTTTCTTGTCCAGCCTTCTCAGGCTTGCAGGAAGTTAGGGTCTCTTTACTTAGCTGACTTTAGGAAGTGCTGTCACCGGCCTCAGCAACAAGGTTGTTTACCTTCCTCGTCACCGAGGTCTTCACTGAAGGAGAACATTTAATTCTCCTCAAGAGGCTCAAAGATCATATCATTTAAAGCTGTGCTCCAGGTGAGCGTGCTGAGGCTAGCCTTGAACTCACTATTCATCTCAGCCTTGAACTGTTGTTGATCCCCCTACCTAGGCTTCTGGCATGCTGGGCTGTCCTGTGTCACCACAGCTAGCCCCATTTCTAGCTTTTGCTTTGAAGTGACAAGTGCAGGACTCTCCAGGGGCCACTGGAGGGTTATTGACTGGCCTACTTCAGCATGGTGTCGCAGGTGTTTGGAGGCTGGAGGAGAAAGGGAGGTTCAGGGCACGGCCTGTCAGTAGTCAGCAGAATACACATTTATCGATGAAATCCACAGTCTGTGAGTGGCGTGGGTCACAGTGCCTTGGGCAAGTGCAGCAGTGGCACCGAAGATCTCCGTAACAGGGTGATAACGAAAAAGCTGAACCAGCGTGAGAATTTTCCAGCTGGGCTGCGGAGATGAGAATGCGTGCCCTTGGGAAACTCCCTGCGCATCAGGTGGAGACAGCCCCACAGCCTCAATCTGCAAGAGATGGGGGGTCTGAGCAGTAGAGCGGAATGTGGATACGTCCACCTGGTGCCATGCAGGGAGTCTTCCTCCTCCAGGACAGGCCGTTGGTGGCGTGTGGGGGATAGCACAGGGACCCTGTCGGGTGAGTTGACCGTGTGGTAGTTCTCAACCTTCCTAATGCTGTGACCCTCTAATGACAGTACCTTGTGTTGTGGTGACCCCCCCCCACCCACAAAATTATTTTGATATGCAGGATATCTGACATGTGACCCCCAAAGGGGTCACAGCCCATAGGTTGAGAACCACTTGTGTAGTAGCTGTCAGAGTGGCACATTTATTTAACCCTGCTGAGGTGTGAGTAGGTGGGTTTTTCTGACTCCGGTAGAACAATGCAGCTTGACTGTTCTGTCCTGGCCACTCTTGGCGTTCGGAGATGGTGGCATGTTCCTATGTCAGGGGCCCACACTACATATTTTTTTCATTCCCATGTAAGGTATTAAGCCAGTTTTGTTTTTACACAAAGAGCTGACTAGATGTTCAGCCACGTGTTGTGATGATTCTTATCCCTCTCCCAGCCTGGACTCTCCTCCAGAGGTGGCTGGCATCCCATGTCACCCTTGCTACCGGACAGAGTAGCCTGCTTGCTCTTGGGGTCAGAAGCATCCTTGCTGACTACCCACACTCTGTCTCCTGCTTGCAGGACATGCTGAAGAACACAGCTAAAGGACATCCTGACAGGCTGCCCCTTCAGATGGCACTGACGGAGCTCGAGACCCTGGCGGAGAAGCTAAACGAGAGGAAGAGAGATGCCGACCAGCGCTGTGAAGTCAAGCAAATAGCAAAAGCCATAAACGAAAGATACCTGAACAAGGTCTAGAGATGTATTCCTCAGTTCTTTGCTGAAGTATTTTTGTGTTGTGCTAACAAACAGGGTGACAGTTTGTGAATTGCTAGGTTAACTCCTCCTGCTCTGCTAACTGGAGTAGGTGGGGCTGGGTATGCCTGGGATTGCATTGTGAAACCTGACCTCTGCCCACTTGTTTTCTTAGGAAAGGGACCCGTAGATTTTATAGTTCCTCATTTGGATCCAGGGACCCTAAAATGGTCCTTAAGAGCTTTAGTTTCAGAACCGCATATTTTGTTTTAGATAGCGGTTTGTCTGTATCCACCTGCGCTGAGCTTCGTGTATCACAAAAACATGCCGCATGGCAGAGGGCCCTCCCTGTCCAGGCTGTTTGACTTCCTCTCCATGGAAGGATTTCTTGCAGCAGGCCACAGGCTTGTGTAGGCTTTCCCATGTTTGTTTAAGGCCCCGTCTATGGGGAGCAGTCAGCTTACATGCAGGTGCCATGCTAACTGGTACACATGCTATTTACTGTTGCTAATGCCAGATTCATTTTCCTCTCAGCTGGGGGATGTCCCGCATGCTGATGAGATCAGTGGCTTACCTCTGATGATTTTATGACTGTCCATTTTGAAGGGCTTTTCTCTGATGCTCTCAATGGCGGAGACCTTTTGAGTGGAGAATTAGAATCAGTTGTGGTCTTGATATAATTTGTGTCATTTGAAGTCAAGCATCTCTGTGGGGGCTTGGCGTGAGAGTGCTCTGGGAAGGAAGGCATACTAACTGCAATCTGGTGGCTGTCGCTTGGGCACCTGACCTCAATCCTGTGCACAGGCCATAAAAGGCCAGGTTGGGAAGTGGCTGGGAGCTAGGCAGTCAGGGGACACTAGACTCAGAAAGTGAAAGCAGTCGTCTGGGCCAAGGGTGCTGTATTTCCTGTTAATGAGCATGAAGTGATGTTCCACGGTACCAGTCAGGGTAGAGCATCCTTCCAGGAGCAGGTGGCCTTCTCCTTGGTTTAGGACATAGAGAGTGGCAGACAGTGCGAAGTCCAGATAATGTCTGGGGGATGTAGCTCAATAGAAGAGCTCTTGGCGGGTAGGTATCATGAAGGGCTGAGCTCGGTCACTGAGAGTAGCAAATCAACAACAGCAAATTAGGTTTAGATGCAAACCACCTTTGCTTTAAGGTTAGCTGCTATGTGACTTTTCAACCCCCAGTGCTGATGTCCATAGCATGTGAAGGTTAAGGTCACATACTGAGCCCAGTAGCTTACTTGTGAGGCGTGAGCAGGAGCTATGTATGGCCCTCCTACAGAGACTAGGCCATAAAACATGGCTCATATAAGCTTGTGTATTTTGGAAGAACCCCTTCCATTCTTTGCATGTGGTGACCATGTTGGTGTCCCTTTGAACCTTCAGCTCCTCAGCAGTGGAAATCGGTACCTCATTCGATCCGATGACGTGATTGAAACGGTTTACAACGACAGGGGAGAAATCATCAAGACCAAAGAACGCCGGCTCTTCATGCTGAACGATGTGCTGATGTGTGCCACTGCCAGCTCACGGTAGGAACAAGCCCATGCCACCTGTCAGCCTCACAGTGACACGCTGTGCACATCAGAGGACGAGGGAGAGGCTGCAGCCAGCCTCTCACCTGAACCGCACCAGGCTGTGGCTACACTCAGTACCTTAGGAAAAGGAAACTCACGGCAGGCTTTTGCTGTTGCTGCTGCTGCTGCTGCTGTTTTTGTGCTGCTGGGAGTGAGCCCCCGAGTGTTATGCCTGCCAGACAAGCTGTGGGCCTGAGGTGCAGCGCCAGCTCTGTGAGCTGACTTTTAAAGGATTCTATGAGCCAGTGGGTCTTCTGGCAGAATCAGGTGCACACCAGTGAACTCAGGCAGACGGGTGCTGGAGCTGGCCCCAAACTGACTCCACTCACATCCCTGTCACCTGCAGCTCTTAGCTGTCATTTAGCCGATTCTCTAAATATACTTCTGAGGTATTTTTCTAACATGTTTACCTCTGAGTCTATCCATACTTAGTCCCCCTTAGTTCTTTTCCCTTAGTTGGGCACAAGGCCAGTTCTGCAGCACATAGCTACTGAGGTAAGCTGAGGAGACCTGGGAAGGTAGGATCCTCAAGGATAGGTGGAGTGAGAGAAGGTGAGTGCCTGCTGCTGGGAGTAGGTGGTGAGCCTTTGGTAGAACACAGTGGACTGGCAGGGGGCCTGCACCCTGGATGGGGCATGCCTCCGGGAGAGCAGGCTGAGAACCATGCAGGCAAACAACACTGTCACACGACTCTTTACAGCCACCGTCACCCTTGTGAGTGGGTGGCCACCCTCCTCCCACCACCACAGAGCTTGGGCAGGGAGGTTATTCCCGCTTGCCAGGCCTCTGACTCCCTGTCAGCATATGGAGGGCAGTGACCGCAAGGTCAGGATGGCCACGTAGGTGCTGTCAGGAGCACCCTCAGTGACGTGACTGTCACTGTGCGGGTACATGATTGCATGAGCTGTGCATGTGTGCATGAGCTGTGGGCTCTGCAGCTGCTCTGGACATAGGTACTTGTGTCTCTTTGGGACTGTGTACCAGGTTGTGGTAAAAGAAGAGAACATATAGGTTTCTGTTTGCAGTCTGCATCCTCAGCAAACACTTTAGTCATGGAGTGTGGGGCGTGACTTGGTTTTTTTAATGTGGCTGTAATGTAACTGCATAGGAATAAAGGGGAAAGCTAGAGTCAACTGGACAAGGCAATCAGAGAAGCACACTTGGGATGTTGTCTCCAGAATCCTCACACACAGTTGCTGTGAGTTCTCAGGTTCTGGTAGAGTTGTAGAGAGGGTTTGCCTTGCCTGTCCTGCTGGAGTCCTAGCTGGAGCCAGTGACTGCTGTTTGTAGGAGGACCCTGAGGGCCATGGCAGTCAGATTGCTCCTCAGGGATGCATGAGGGATGGGAGGCATCAGAACTTGGTCCCATGGCAATCCATAAAGAAACAGCCTTGCATTTGTTCTAGGAACTCCCATGAGAGCCATGCTGCGATGAGCCAGAGGTACCTGCTCAAGTGGAGTGTGCCCCTAGGACACGTGGACGTTATTGAGTACAGTGGCAGTTCTGGCGCCGGAGAGCACAGTAGGCACCATGCGGCACACTCACCTGAAAGCCTGGCCGTGGTGGCCAATGTGAAGCCACGTGAGTGACAGCCCTGTCCACACTCATGGGAGCTGTGGGCAGCATGAGTTATAGGCCTGGCCCTCATTCCACCCCTGGAGTGGTGCAGCTATGGGACAGGTCAGCCTGCTGACTTGGTGGGTCTGTCTGACGTGACAGAGCCCTGTCTCAGCATTGCAATGGCTACAGCATGGCGGTAAATTGGTCAGTGGCGGTGTCTGGAGACCATGGGTAGGCTCTGCTCTGCTCTGGGCTGGCAGGCTTCTCTTTTCTTCAGTTCCCAGTGGTGAGCTCATGCATGTGGCCTTCACAGTGAAGTGGGCGGGTTGGCGGTGCTTTGGGTGTGACTCAGCGTTGCTCAGTAGTTGGGATTGCTATTACCAGTCATAACTCGGCCTGGAGATTTTGTTCTAAGAGCAGGAATGATTGCCTTCTCCTCCGCTGCCTCTTTAAACCTGAGTAAAGACTAGCTAGATTTAATTCATTTGTCACCTCTGCTGCTGGCCAGTTAAAGCACAGTGAATGGGAACTCTCCATAAACCTTAACCAGCATTAACCTTTGTCCCTGACAAATGCATGAAAGCAGAGACTAAAACTCAGCCTTTGTGCTGGGACATGAGCATTTGGGGGAAACACAGGGAAATGGAGCAGTGAGTATCAGGTCTAATCCCTTCTAGTTTCCTAATTCCCAGGAGGTTAGCAGTCACCCAGTTCAGTCATCTGCCTGGTACTGTGTTGTCTGAACACGGTATCAGCTGTACTATAAGTTGTACCCCCACTTAAAGCAACACACATCTTTACTTAGACTCTATCTAATCTAAAATTGAAATGCCAAAGAGTACCCTAGAGCACTCAGATGAGCAGCATGAGAGGAAGGGAGGGAGGGAGGGAAGGAGGGACGGAATGCAGGAAGAGAATGATTTTCCAAATTGTCATAATTTGTTGAAATTTCATTCTAGGGGAAACTGAATGTCTTTCTAAGCTGTCTTTAGAATCCCCTTTAAATCACTTGGGAGTGTTGATTGCAGGCTGTGTTGCATCTGTGAACAAAGATGACTGTGTTTTATATCGCTGTCAGTCTTAAAGTGTGTTCGTAGCTGAGATTGCCCCTCAGTGTTCAGACAGCCATTGATGTCTCTGAGCATGAGGCAAATTCAGATTGGACACACAGACTTCCATTTTCTTAGCAACTTCCTCTTGATGACTGGTAGTCATCAAAGGTAGAACGGGGTTAGACTCAGTAAGACATTAAGAGAAAGCAGGATGGTTGAGCAGGTCCTGCGGAAGGAAGAGACAGAAAAGGATTCATTTTCTTGAAGTCCTTTGTGTTGCTGTGACCTTTTCATCCCAGCTACTGTGCAAAGTTGAGTCATCCTGGAGAGCACACCATTCCTCCTCCCATTTCACTGTGAAGGCCATACCAGGAGCTAACCGTAGGAAACAGGAAAAAACAGGAGCCAGCCAGCGCAGAGTCTAGCTCTGAATGTGGAGCAGTTCGGGGGAGCTTCTCCACAGGAGAGGGGAGCTGACCTCATGCTGAGCTCAGGAGCATTGCTGTTATATCCTGTTGAGAGGAATCCGGGGAGTCTCTGGAGACATACAGACCACTCTTTGCAGGAAGTTGCTGGCTTTATGTTGTTAGGCAAGCACCGCGATGACCTCAGTGAAAGCAGGCTTTGGAGCATCTTCTCAGCAGCAAGACAGTTGTTCTACCTTCTAGAGATTTGCTCCGCTACTTGCCCTGGGCACACCCACGTCTTTGCATGGCACACCTCATCTTCTTGCTGATACTGATGGTGGAATGCTATGCCCTTGGAGGTGGTAACCTAGTGGGGGTGTGGCTTCACCTGTTAATTTCTCCCTCCATTTGCCAGTCTTTACAGCATGTCCTATTGAAGGCCTCTGTGGAACCAGTTAAAGGGCATGACCGTTTCCAATGGGTGTTACAGTTTAATTAAGTGATATTATTCTTGCTGTTTATTAGAACCCCGTGGTGAGCCAAGCGCTGGGTCCTGTAAGCCACGGGCGAATCTGCTACAGACCAGGCTATCCTGAAGCGAATTCTAGGAGCAGGCAGACTTTCTGACTCACAGGTGCTGCGCTGTGCGACACATCCCATAGTAGAAGCATGAACAGAAGCTTTGGCAGATAAAAGGGAATCAGTGTTCTCAGAAGTGCCTTCAAAACTAGCTTCTGGGTTGGGGGGAGATGAGGGAGGAGACTACAGCCAGGATACAAAGTTTTAATAAATAATAAATCAATTAAAAAAATAAACTAAAAGGCACCCCTAGCTTCTGGGAAGACTCAGGCTTCTGCAGATTGAGGTGGGCACCCTGGCCCACCCTTGAGTGTGCCCACTCAACTGGTGATCCCTGCGGCAGCTGTACGGGCCCCCTGGCTACTCCTAAGGGAGCAATGGTTCTGGGGTGGCTGTGGAAGCCCAGCCCTGGGAGACTGCTACTGTGATGCCCCTCCATCCTTAGGAACATAGGGCTGGAAAGGCCCAAGGTATCCTCTTGCCGCTTGAGACTCAGTGCATCGTCTTCTGAGCGGTACACACAGCAGTGCTTACTCACTCTTGAAGGGCTGTGTGGGTGGCGGGCCTCCCAGGCTGGACCTGCCCACTTGCTGAGGTTTGACTGAATGTCAGCTATGTCTGGAAATGTCTAATGGGATGCTGTCATATACATGTGTAAAGTGAAATGCCTCAGCGACCCAAGTTGGTTAGCCAGTCATCATCACGGACAGGCAGTTTTACTTTTCTTCTCTTTGATGGTTAGGCATTTAAGATGTGTTGCTGGTGACGTGTCTGCCGGCCAGTCACACCAGCACCAGGCAGTCAGCTCACTCGTGATGGAGCCGTCCCCCGAGTCTCCCTTGTGCTTCCTTCAGAGTTTGGCCTCTGCGTGTTCTTTCCCCATCCCTTGGGCTATTGTCTTGAGGCACTTTGAGAAGTCAGGTGGAAGCTCTTGTTCTCTGAAATCACATGACTTCTGTGCTGTTTGAATGGCTGTAACAATCAGTTTTGGAAGCTTGGTCTGTTGTTTTGTGTTGGAGGCAGAGTGTGGGTGTCACTGCCTAGCAACCAGCACTGGGAAAGGGTGAGGCAGTGCCAACAGGAGAAGCAAGGAGCTGCCCCTGCACAGCTCTAAGCACCCACAAACAGGGTCCAGTCAGTCTCATTGAGTTTCCATGACAAACTCTGCATACACAGAAAGGCTTGGGAACCAGTGAACTGGACTTCCCTCGGGGCCCACGGATCGGGTTAAGTGTTCACAGCCCATGAAATTATTTTGCAAAGTGTGTGTTTGCTAGGGCAGTTTAAAAGGTTTCCCCGAGTTTTTCAGCTGTGGCTCAGGGCTGGGAAGGGGAAGATGATGAGCCATGTGTTGGGACTCTGCTCACAGGTAGCCCTGACCATGCACAGTAACCTGCCGCTCTGCTCACAGGTAGCCCTGACCATGCACAGCAGCCTGCCCTCTGC